ATTTTATAGAAATTCAATTAATTAAGGTTTTAAGTTGAGATAATTGGTCAAGCGGACCACGAAAAATATTGAAGTTTATAAAAAAGTAAGCTATTAAGAGGGTTGAGATAGAGTACACGAAGAAAACATTTTTGTTTATAAGACGCTACACAATAACTTTTTTATTTCAATATAACATTTACATTCAATTATTAAAAATACCCCTCCAAACGACACTTTTTAAACTATGCCATGAGAGAATACAAAATCGTTCTGATTGCAGGAAATTAAAATAAACCAAAAGTAGTGGAACAAATCGTGTGAAACGTCGTTCCATTATTGTCTCAATGGTAGGACGAAAGAAAATAATTGCAAACAAACAAGGTAAAGGCCGTCGAGGAAATCCTCCATTTCTTTGTCGCTATTGCATAAAACAGCATAAAAATCCCTTGCCTCAGAGGCATTGCCAAAATTATAAATTAGCCTTCGGATCTGTGCTCAACAGTGTTTACAGCCCGCCCACCGTCTCTTCTCTATAGCCCATTAAAAAAATGAGAGGCGTTCTGCCCCGAATAAAAATAGAAAACAATAAATATAAGATAAAAACGGCCTGACATTCTTTACCACTTAGCGCAGAGCTCTTATCTTTGTCAGTCATCTATTTATTGTTGTTAGTTTCACTGGGTCATTTGAGACAGGGCCAGGTTTTAGACTCGGACATTCCTCTATTTCTTTTTGCAGAGAGTAAGTCCCTAAAACGTACTTTATTCTATAAAACATTTCTCACCGTAGAAGAATAGAGCTGTGAAAGCCTTTTTTGGCTTGTATATTTAATAATAAATATTCAGATTTACTTGAGATGACTTGTATTTACAAGCTCTTTAGAAAAATCAATTATAAAGTTGGTATGAGGTAAAGAGCCAAACATGAAGTCGAATTTTTTAGATTTTATGACATACGGTCACTATAGAAAAACAAATATTTTAGCACGTTTTTCCATTATTGTTATTTGTGGAAGAGATCTAACTCTAAAATCGAAGGAGAACAGTGAGAGGGGGGATGGGAGAAAGAAAGAGTGAAAGATACAAGTCTTGATACAATGAAAAAGGTAGAGATACAAACAGAGAGAGAGAGAGAGAGAGAGAGAGAGAGAGAGAGAGAGAGAGAAGAAACGAACAAACTGATTTACAAAATACAGAGGAATTCGAAAGAGGATAAGCCAAATTAAAAATATGCCAACATATAGTATGTTGTAAAAAACAATAAAACAACATTAATCTTCGTTCTTATTGTTCTACTTTGCCATGTACTCGTGTGTCCGTTGACAAGAGGCTTGTCAAGATTGAAAATGTAAGTGGTGAAATAAATCAAAAATTTTGTGTTTACCACTTATCGTATCGTCCTTCAGGAAAACCGGTCGATAAATGACGTAACCGTCGTGAATAAGACGGTATTTTGGGATGGAATTTAGTTTTCATACGGATAATTTTTAAATAAACAACACTTTAGATAACATAATAAGTGGAGGAGGAAAATAAAACTTCTTTATTCTCAGATCGATAATCTATAATAAGTCTGCTTGTTCTCGATGTGTAATCTGGTTAAAAACCGTAATAATAATAATCTATAGGGAGAGTTTGCGGATCAGTCCGATCTAGAGTAGATCTAGATTAGACTATATATAGAAATAATTAATCCAAATCATTAGAATTTAGTTAAGGATGTATTAAGTGAAAATACAGCGAGGATAGGCGGACCAGGACCTCAGACCGATCAAAGCGCCCAGAAACGTTCTATAACTCTGACCGTAAACAGTATACAGAAATAATTGTACGAACTTTTTTTAAACAATTAATTAAGGTTTTGAGTTGAGATAAAAAAGTCAATGGCACGAGCGGGATTTGAACCCACGATCTTCGGCTAGATACGCCGCTGTCTACCACTTGAGCTATCGTGACCTCGAACCGAAAAGGAGGGAAAACTCAAAAGGTGGGGTTGAGATGGGAAGTTGATGTCCCAGTGGATCGAGGTGCCATTGACTTTTTTATCTCAACTAAAAACCTTAATTAATTGTAATATATTAATTGGTCAAGCGGATCATGAAATTAGTGAATTTAACTTTTTTTAAACATTGGTTTTGGTTTGGACGAAATTTAATTTCAAAATTACAAGTTTGTTTTGCCTTTCAGAAGTCCAAGACTTTTACGTATTCAAATTTTTATCTTAATTTTAATTTTAATCATCATTACTTAACCGGCTTCAGAATCGTTCCTGTGAAGACAATTTTCATTCGCCACAACAAACATAGAATGATTATACCCAATAGCCAAAACTGGATCCGCTATATTGCTTGTTGAATAATGTGCAGCCGTAATTCTCACTTGACTGCATCCCATAAATAATAAAATTAATTAGGGTTGCATTTAATCGTGCCTTTCATGGCCGTTTCGCCCTCATGAAACATAACAAGTACTCCACTACGAATTTTTTTGGTCATTTTTGCCGTTTGGAGGACCTCTTTATACAGAACCTTGCAACCCCTCCCATGCCTTACATGAAAATCCAAATTGTTTTTAAACCCATGAAAATTGGCAAAATATATTTATTAGAAGGTAGAAATTCTTTTACGTCAGATAGATTTATAAAGGTGAAGAATACAGATTGAAAGGTTTTTTTTCCGTTAAAGAGTTTTCAATAGAAGTGATCATCATTGATCCTGAACAGCCTGTAAGAATAGAAATACCGTTTGAAACCGCTATGATTTTCCAAGGAGACATCAGTCGCGGAGGTGAATCCTCGTGGGAAGGTAAAACGCCATCAGCTCAACTTTTTCCACCCTTCAATTAAACTTGTATCAAGCGATTTGGCCGTTTTTTGCCTCTTCCGTTTTACTAGTTTGGGGTTGCAGGCTGTTTCCTCAACTGCGGCCTACTTATCCCGTGCTTTTGGGAGGTGTAAACCCGTCCCGGAATGAATTGACGCTTTTGTGCTAAAATAACGAAGAAAACTGCGTTTCTTGCCTTAAAGTATAAAATGAAAACTATAAACTCAAATTAAAAACAACTAATTAACCCTTCATAGGGTAGTAGTACTATTACTTAGAATTAACAAATGTTACTTATCATTATTTAAAAAAAATAATAAGCATATATGTTATATACGGGATAATGTTGCAGTAGATATTCAAATAGTTCCATAATTTAGAAATATATCATGATGCAGTATAATTAACACATGTTTAATCCATAGAATATGAAAGTTATTTGTTAATTTAAATAAATTGGGACGTTAATTTTTATTTTAATTACTAGACAAATTCGTATGAATAAGTTCAGCAAAGGAGTATCGATAAAATCAACCTTTACTTCTGATTCCGATCCAATTGAAGGTATGTTTGACGAGCGGCACTTATTTAGCCATTTGATGTCAAAATATATTTTTAGCAGTCCAAATTTGATTGTTCTCACTGTAAAATGTATACAATATATAGAACCAAAACGACACCATGGGAGAGAAAGATTGATGGAGGTAGAGCGAGAGAGAGAGTGAGATGATAAGATGGAGAGAGAAAAGAGAAAGTGAGAGAAGAAAAAGAGCGAGCAAGAGAGAAAGTAAGAGAGTGACAGTCAGACCTCAAATATCATCTTGATCATTAATCAATGATCATCATTCAACGTGAGAAGGAAGTAGTCTATCATGTATAGGATGGAATGATGGAATAGACATATGGGTGAGATAAAATGAAAGAAAAAAATATAAATCTTCTTTGAAGTATTTCATGATGTGAAATGTACTCCAATAGTTCTTTTTTGATTTTGTTTATCGTTCGTTCGCCTTGAGAGATAAATAAGTGGATAAATCAACTTGAGATAGAGTAAGATGAGGACATAGAAGGTAGATTGAAAGAGGGAGTTTTATTACTTTATTTAAGAAAGAGTTTTATTATCTAAGGAAGAAGGGGAGAGAGAGAGAGAGAGAGAGAGAGAGAGAGAGAGAGAGAGAGAGAGAGAAAGAGAGAGGCCTTTCCGATATAGTTTGTGAACAGCGATCACCGTTATACGTGAGAGGGACATAGGGGTGATGAGAGCCGGAGAGAGTTGGGTGAGAAAAACGAAAGATAAATGCGTAGATAAATAAATTTGAGATATAATAAGATAAATAGGTAAAGAAGAAGAAGAAGAAGAAGAAGAGAGAGAGAGAGAGAGAGAGAGAGAGAGAGAGAGAGAGTGAGTGAGAGAGAGGCACGAACAGACAGACAGAGAAGTTAATAGCTAGGGATGATCACAAATCAACATGAGAAGTATATGATACGTAGAGGATGAGAGATGGTGAGACAAAATAAAAGAAAGAAACCTACTCAAATAATCTTGAGATAGAGTAAGATAAATAGACAACAAATAATTAGAAAGAGTGAGAGAAGGATTTAGGAGGGAGAATTAGTGAGGGAGAAGGACAGGCAGGCAGGCAGACGGACGGACAGAAAGATTTGTGATGCTTGGAAGGTCAAATTTTCATCATCAATAGTGCCATTTGAGTGTTATTGTTTCAACGACATTTAAATCAAAAGTAATGGTAGCCTTCTTCTTGTAATTGTTTTCATAAAAATTGAATTAAACATTTAATCTTTCAATACACAATTTTTATCGAGATTATCTGTGAATCTGAAAGAAATACGTTAGTTAATTTGAGATACTCATATTACAATTAATTTCACTTGTGCTCAATTACTAAAATTCAAATTCTGTTATTGCTCGAGGTTTGAACCGAACGAATAACGTTCTAATTGAAGAGTTATTTAAGCACATTAGCAAAACCACACAGTTTATTGTTGTTAACGAGTGAACGAACGTGAACTTCTTCGACAATGATTAGTTTTCTTTGTCTGTCTGTTCTCTCTGGTTTATGTTGCAACCCATAATCACATAATTTTCTAGCAATATGGACAATTTTAAACTACTGTCTTGATTTTTCCTGTGGTGCCAGCCCAGTGATTGTTTCACTAATTAATTTTTCTTTTCCAGGCCAAGACGGCGGAGCGGGAGCTCGCTGGTCGAGGCGGATAAGGTGAGCGGGGAGCCAGCCGAGGATGCATACAGCATGATGGTGGTGATGAGCAGCCTTGAAAACGGACCACATAGGGAGATGCCGGTGGATGTACCGGAGTCCTTCATAGCCAGGAGTAAAACACCTCCTCGCTATCCTCCTCCAAGGCCAGCCAACAGGGTAATTGAAACAATTTTTAAATAGATTTATATAAGCACTTATATAAGCATTTATATAAGCACTAAGAGTGTCACGGTAGCCTATGTATTTTCAGTAAATTTTAGCGATAAGTGATATGTTTCCGGAAACTTTATTTTTAAAGCTGACATAATGATACGGTTCATTTCATAGCAGGGTTAATTTAATCCGTTATACACCTTACATTTTCCTTCATTAATAAAGAATCGTCATGGGTTCCTCTTTCAAAAATAACCAGGTCAGCGAATAAATCGATGATAACGAAAGATCAGAGTACCTATAATGATAGGCAGGTTTGGCCCGAAAACAGCTAACCTCTTCAAGAGGAGACAATTTTTCCAATACCACCAGTTCCTAATCCAAAACTGCCTCACATTCACTCGGAAAATGTAAGAATTTTGAGTGCTTGACAAAGAACGAAGAAAATAAGTCAGCCTCAACTGTGAATCGAAAAGGTAAAAGGACATCCTAGGTCAACAATACTGGTGCTATTCTACTTAAAAAGAACCTCCCCAGAACGTTACACATTCCATCAACGTGATAAACCGCATTGCTTGGGCTTCGGCATTTTTATCTGCCCTGATCCATTGCCTAATTCAAACCTTTCTCAATAAAATCACCTAGTTGTCAGGTGAAAAATACTGCTGAAATTGTCCTTAATGTTAGATTGGATTACTCTGGTTTTCTCTAACGCGAAAAAAATGTTTACTTCAGCTAGCAAACATTTGACTGTTTGTGCCTCCGGTTTCTTAGACGTCCTAACTTACATTTCCACATTCTCTACTTCATTAAGACCTTAAATAATGTTTACGATCATTGTTGTTTTTCTGTTCTCTTCTGGCTTAGTCTGTATGTCATCTCACGGTAGGTTTTCTTTAAAAGCAACTTTAAATGCCTTGTAACTATGTTGTACATGCCATTTATTGTAAAGACCTTCCTAATTGTATTAAATACATTACGTGATACGTCCCTATGTATGTGAATTTGTTGCATTCAATTCGGGCTTCTAAGGTTTCATTTCGCTTGTTACGGAAGCCTTAAATTCATTGGGGAAATCGAAAATTTTTTTTGTCCTCTATAATTGAAATTTCCACTCCTTTTTTCGTTTCAGACTTTTCTGAACAAATTTGGTTTTGTGTCTGTCTGTCTATCTGTGGACATTCCTCGTAACCGGCATAACAACGAAACCATGAGACCAGCTTTTATGAAATTTGGAGAGATCGTGTGGATGTGTTTCTAGATGGTCCCCTATGAATTTCACCGCAATCGTATCAGTGGTATCGCCTGCGCATGAGCAAACGTAAAATCACGTACATAGCTCTATCTCTGAGACCATTTGTCGGATTCTTACGCCAATTTCAGGGATTATGCGGGTTGCTTACTAGAAAATCTCCTTTGATTTTTATTCCAAACGGATTAACGTATGCGTATGCGCATGCAGAAAATGTGAGGAAGCTATACTGCGTACCACTTGATACTTCTTTATAGGTACTTCCTTGTTCATTATTTTGCTAATTGTACCTAAAGCCGTACTCATATACCGTTTTGCAATGGAAAACCTTTGGCAAAATAATTTTGAGTAACCAGTACTGCTTAAAAATCGTGTTTAAACTAATCTTTCTATTAAATTACTACTACAAATTTTTTGTAAGTTTTAGAGAAATAAGTAAATAAAACTTGCCAGAATTGCAAATTGAAACAAGAAAATCAGTCGAAAAATGTTACTCACTTGTCTGAGCAGCTTTGAAACGGTGGTAATACCTTGGACATTGGATTAAATTCAGAAGAGCTATGAATTTTTATGTGGAACGTCGGAAATTGGAGGTAAAACGTCCTCTGGCCGATTCAATGTTGTTTGCTATAAAAATTGCAATTTAAGGGCTTTAAAGTTGCTATATCAAAAAGCCTATTTTACTTTCTAGTTTTTGTAACTTTTTAAATATGAAATCTCGTTTAACACATTACTTACCTTAAAATAATAGACATAAAAATCGGAAAACAGCAATCTAAAAAAAAATGGTTAAATTGATTGTATCGACTCATTGGCAAGAATGCTCAGAAACGAATGTAATATTTTCGACTTAGTATTACAAAAATATCATTAAAATCGTTGATACCATACTGAAAATAAAATCTTCCACCAATTGGCAGAAAACCTAGCCAAAGCTGCTTGTTTACTTGCTACAAGTCCAAATGTCCAAATGATATTTTTGAAGAAGAACCTCTTTACTTTTGGCAGAATCAATAAATTTTGTTAATTTATGAGAATATTTGTTGATAGGAAGGCGTTTTACAGCTTGATAGGATAGTTTAAACAAATCAGCAAAACAAATCCCTGTTTTTATCCTGACATTACGCCATGACGTTTTTCCCTGATAGGGTATGAAATTAATCATGCGATTAATTTTTTGAAATGCCAACAAATTAAAATTCAGGCTGGAAGATATGGGACGGAAAGAGAATAAAACTGAAATAAAGATGAAAAACGTTGAGATGCGGTAAAGTTAATGAATATTTTGAATGATGATTTCGAATACGAGTTTTTTATCACAGTGGCTGAAAATGTACATACCTGGAGGAGCTATGGGTTTGTAACTTTAAACCTATAGTTTTATGCGTCCAGTTCCAAACAGCATTAAAGATAAATTAAATAGAAACAATAATGCTAAAATCAGGAAAAATGAAGCCCACCGAAAGTTTAAACAAGTAAGTACTCACCCTTACAAACAGCCTTACCCGAATGGGTAAAGTTTTAATCTGAAAAAAAAGTTTGACTTTATTGACGAAGTTGCTTCTAATACAAACCATGTTGGTGAATGATTGCCTCAAAGAAAAAAAAAACATTTAAATCACTATTATTTTATTTTATTTTTTTAATCTGCTCTGTTCAGTTGTTAACGTTTAACTTAAATGAGTTGATCCTAGGCTTGAAAGGGCATAAAAGCGTTTTTCTAAACTTTGTTCCTTTGGGGTTGAAGCACGAGGACATGCAAGTTACTCCTCACCCTAATTTGGTTGAAGGGGGCACGGACAAAGAGCTGTTAACCTTACACGAGTTAGAGTTTGAGGTTCTAACTTTCCTTTTAGGCAGATATCAGATTTGGTTAAACGACAGCCTTGGGAAAACAAACGTGGCAAAATAAATTCCCTATTGGGACAGGTGCGATGCGACCGAAAAATCTGATTTAGAAGTTTCTTTTGATTTCTGTCTCTTTTTTTTTTACTTGTGGCCTTATCTTTGAATAGTCAAAGTTATCTCAAAATTCCCTTAAAATCTTATGTTTAATTGCGGTAACAGTCTGTAGATAATTTGTAAGATCCTGTTCAGAAAAAAAAGGATACCACATGGAACTTCTAGTTTGTTTCATGTTTGATGAGAATTCGAGAGAAAACTATTGTTAAGTCCACGTAGATTGAAAAGTTCACAAGTCTTAGTTATTGGCATTGATATGTATAATTTCGTTGTATCAGGCTGTTATTGTCCTAGCTCCTCATTAATTCAATTTTCCAGCGATTTGCTCCGCTCTTTGCCAGTGACTTTGGCTGTTTTCCTCCCCGGCTGATAGGACAATTGCACAGGCTAACAAAAACGGCTCTTCTTTGAAAAAGCCACCTTGGCAAAAGTCGCTGATGTTTATACGAAAGTGCATTAACCTTTGAGATGGTTTAATTTTTAAAACGGGAACCTTTTTTCTCTCTCTCTTTAACGTGTTGGAAATGGCACGTACTTCGATTTCCAAGGTTTACTAACAAATTTTTCCCTTTTTTGTCCATATTTGCGGCCAAGTACAGTTACAGCAGGGAAAAACTTGTCGGTTTCAACAGAAAGAAAATCATAAAAACCATCTGTTAAACAATAAGAAAGTACTATTTAACGCGAAATAAAAATTTTACTGTATTTTAGTTAGACCTGATTATATAAGTTCTGTCATGGTCTGCCCAAAAAATTCTACCAGAAAATTACAATAGTGAACATAGAAAACATTAACAATTTAAACTTCTTGTTGATCGTTCTTCTTGCAAACACGGGTAAAAATTTTACATTTTAAAAATATTTTCGTCTTCCTAACTGATACTTAAGTTCGCATTAAAATTACATTTTACGTTAAAAATATAAATACAAAAATATTAATAAATGGCTTATTTTTGGTCTTAAGTTCAGAATTACACTCTAAAATTCCTGGAACCTCAGATATATTTTTTAACAGTTCAATTCTAAAATACCCATAAATTATAATTACATTTTGCCTTTATGTCATATAAAATTAATGACTGGGTTATTTTTGCTTCTCTGCGTGTACCAATGCAAATCAAATTAAAATTTGTTTAATAAGTAACACATTTCAATAAACCAGGCAAAGGATGAATATAAGTACACAACACAATGCAAATCATTTTTTTTTTCGTGTTAAAAAACGACACAATGCATACACAACTAGGAAATTTGCTAAGGGTAGGTAGGTAGGTAAACACTGCCTAAAATCCGGCGAAAATGAAACGTTCCAATAATGAAAGTCATTAATTGTACGTTCATGAAACAGACATGCATACAACAAAGTTACACCTTCGCAGGGAAACGAAAATATCCACGACCTATTTAGCTGTGTTTTTCATTATTAATTTTGAAAAACATTGGCGCTTCAGACTCGCATATTTTCAGCGCTATACGGAAAAAATCGTGGATATGTAGTTTACCTCGTCCCTAAGCTTAACCCTAATTCCAACCCATCCCCATCAGACATACCTAAGTACCCGTCCCGAATCCAACACATGCGCATGCTCTGGTAACGCGAATATTGCCACATTAAAAAATGTACGCTTCAAGTCCAAAAACATTTTTATGTTAAAAAGACGATAAATCGGTAAGCCTAAAAACAAAAAGTATCCAAGAAAAAGAGAGCGTGCGAAAGAGAAAGAAGGAGTGAGCAAGATGGAATGAATGAATGCATATCGTTGTATTTAAAAATCTCGCAGATTTAGATTTAGATCGATCGATTTAGATTAGAAAGAGAGAGAGAGAGAGAGAGAGAGAGAGAGAGAGAGAGAGAGAGAGAGAGAGAGAAAGAGAAATGAAAAAAGAGAAAGTGAAAAATAGATAGAAATAGCGAGGAAGAGAGAGAAAACAAGAAAAAAGAAACAGGGAGGGAGAAAAAAGTTAGACTGAAAAGACATACAGAGTGGATGTGAGGACAAATAAAAAGAGAGAGGAATGAATGAGAGATTGATAAAATGATAAAGAGAGAGGGAGAGAAGAATGAGATAAGAAAAAAAGAGTAAAATAGTTGGAAAGAGCAAGACAGAGAGAGGAAAGCAAGAAAGGAAAGAGACAGAGAAAGAGAGATAGATAAAATAAAAAGGAAAGAGGGAGAAGAGAGCGATAGATATATCGAGAATGAGGCAGAGAAAAATGAGAAAAAAGAAATAGGTATGTGAGAGAAAGAGGGGCAGAGGGAAAAGACAGATATAAAGAGTGAGAAAGCCAGAGGGCGGAGAAAGAAAACAATGAATTAGAGATACATAAAATGAAAGAGGGAGAGAGAGAGAGAGAGAGAGAGAGAGAGAGAGAGAAAGAGAAGAGAGAGAATGAGAGATACACAGACAGAGAGGCTGGTGTAGACAATTCTTTTTTTTTAATGTTAATTGTATAATTATGTGTGACATAAATTGTTTCGTTACACTTTCTCTCTGAAATTTCATTTTTGCTATCTTTCTTTTTTTCTTTGTGGATAGTTTAATTTCGTATTATTTTGGTCCATTTCTTAAGTCCTTATAAAGTTGACTTCCCCGTAAATAACATGAAAATTTCTTGATATTTCCTCAATTTTCTTCCGATTGCAAAATTATTGATTAATTGCTCGAAAATATTGTTAAGTAGTCCTATTAATGTTTTCCTACCTATTGATAATTATTTTTAATTTTCTTCTTATTATTATTACCATTTGTGCATTGTTATTAAAAAATGTAGATTTCTAATGATGGGTGTAAATTCCCGAAATTTTCATATAAATGTAAATATTTAGGTAGATAAATATTTTACGTAAATGTATTTCTTTTTAATGAAAAAACCACGTGGAAATGATTTCTGACATTCAAAATATTTTTAGCAATTGTCACACTTTCTTAATTGCAGATTGAATTTATAGACTAGTAAATGAAACGATTAGAAAATATTTCGTCTCTCACTATGGGTTTGTCGTCAGGATACCAGGCCAGGGCAATTATCCTTTATTATGTACACAATTCTATTGTCATTCATTTATATGATAATAGGAGGCTGTTTGCATCAATTCAATTCTCTCTAATGTCGTCGGTGTGTTATCTCCCGGCCCGGGTACTATTATGGTTCTATTTCTATGATAATTCCTAATCCTTTTTCGGTTTTAATCCTAATATCGGTTATTGTTCATTTTTTACAGGGGGCTTTGAACGGTAGCGCGGGAAGCCCGGGGAAGCCAGTTCCTCCCCCGAGGGAGCCGCTGCCACGACCACCCCCGGCTGCCCAAAGAAATATCAACAACAACACGACGGCCGAGTTGAGCAAGGAACCAACAAAACAACAGCTTGACAGCATCAAAAAATACCAGGTAATTTGTTTCATTACTGGCAGTAATAGAAAAAAAGTATGCACAAAAATAGTTAAAACACTACAAATATATATTTATAAAAAATTTGAAGTAATTCTATTAAAGAATATATATTCATCGCCTACATGTATTTGTCGGACGATAAATTAAGGGTATTTACTATTCGAGTAAGTTGGTATTTTAAGAGGACATTTCTCCTTGAGAACTGCGGGGGATAGTATGGTCGTCCTCGATCATTATGTGGTGTGATATCAATAATTCTCATAAGTTTTTTTACGATGATCTTTGGTTTAATGTTGAAACTGCAGCTTGGTCGGGGTTGATCGTTCTTAATTATCTTTATCAACAGCGTGTTGATGGAACCTTGATCCTATTTGTCCGAATATACTCGCTGTTTTGGGTTGGCAGACGTTCTTCGGTATTTTGACGTATACGATGGTGTGTTTATATTCTTGCTGTATTTTTCTGCCATACTTATTGAAAACGAAAGGTTCGTTGTTTAGCTGTAAAGTCATAAATTAAGGGCGTCGGTGATGTTATAAAATTTACCAATTCAGATTAATTAATTGTTGTTCTCAAAGAAACATCGTGGCGTTGTCGTGGTGAAAGATTCACCTTCTCTATTCGCTAGTGCAGGCCGTTTTTACTTTGTTTGAAGGACTTAACGGGTTAGCTATTCACAGAACAATTCACTATTAACAGTTTGCCCTTGTCGAAAAAGCTCAAAATGCAAAAGGGGCCCACCAAAGTGCCCAGCATGTTTTTTTTCGTGCAATAACTAAGGGCTGTTATTCGGGTTGGCAATAAGCATTTTGCGATCTATGTTTTTGTATGCGATCCATTTTTCATCACCTGTTACCAATCAATGGGTCGTAAAAGTGAGAACAGAAGAATGAAGAGCAAATTGAGATGTGATCCGCCAAATTCTTTTTGCTGAATTCGTGGGTCCTTGTAGCGTACTTTTGAAAAACCCAAGTGTTCGGATGTGGTTCCCAATGGCTTTACGAGAAACATTTAACATCTCTCCTAGTTCTCGGTTCGTCAAAAAAAAAGGATTTTCTCCTATCCTATGCCTCAATATGTCGTCATCAACCTCAGAAGGACGTCCACTGCACGCATCATCTTCAAGAACAAAATTTCCTTTTCTACAAGAGCAAACCACCTTGGACTTTACGAACATTTACAGCATTAGTACGAAACACTGCACACAAACTTTCAGTTGGAACAGTTGCATTGTTCCCTTTTGGAATTTTTGGAATTCATAAAGTAAACATGGCTTAAATGGGTTTCATCCAAAGACATGATTACCTACTAAATCAATCGGCACAACTAAAGAAGTTGAAAACAGAAACTGAGGAGAAATAAAGCCTTTTAATTTAGGGATTAAACAAACGTATTTGCAAACGAACATAATATATATAGAAAAAATGTAATATTGAGATAATTAATACTATAATTGGAAAACCACATTACATTCTTACCAAACCAATACTTATTCTCCCGGTATTTGTTTTTTCTCCTTTACATTACTACAAAGACAAAAATTGCGAAATGTGCTGAAATGTTTTGGTAATACTGGTCGGCCCCATTTTCCTTTCATTTGTCTACAGTCCTATAGCGTCATAAACTGTGGGATTTGATGATGTCTGCGATCTGATTGAAACTGTATGTTGAATGTTCTCGATCAATCTTTTCCGCCTGCTCCCTCTGGTTATGCCTTCAGCGCAATGCCAAACTAGCCTGAAAGAACAATACATCAAGTATTGGCGGACCAGAATGATCAGAAACAACCAAACTACAACCTATTGGTTGTTTTGTATAAAAAAAAGTGCTTAATTCTTGATTATGCTGCTTCAATCACCTGTTTCGGGCCTATCAAAATTTTCCGATTTTTAGTCAACCGCTTTTGACATAGCATATATTACGATTGGAATAAAAAAAATCAGCTTTTAAATTGTACGTTACAGTTCTTTTACTGGTGAACAAAGCTCCCAGTTTGCGTTTTGTCAGTGATAAGATAATGGCGATATCGCTTAATTTGCCCGCACGCTGTGTTATAATAAAGCTTTTCAATTATTCTATCGGGGTAATTAGTGGGCGTCGCTGGCCTCCCTGATCCGCACAAACAAGGAATGGGTGATAAGGATAACGGTGTTATTCATGTTTTGTCAGTGAATTATTCCGCGGCCGGTCTGTTTTGTATTAAACTAAGCCTTATGCAGTGTTCTAAGTGAAAATTGAGGCAAGCGAATAAGAACACCGAACCTTAAAGCAACATATGCTGTTTGTATAATCCTTCAACAATGGGCAAGATTATAATTACAATTTATTCCGCAAAACATATAATCCGAAGAAAATTAAATATTCAGATTTTGAATAAATGGGACAAATAGTCAGTCGAGTGTCAAAAACCTAGAAGATTTAAAAAAATATACTCTGTAGTTTGAGAAATATATTCATTGCTTGGCTTGCTCTAGGACGCGTCTCAGGTCCGATATGGCTTAACGTCACTTTACCTGCCATTGAACTCCGTATGCGAAATCTTAAAATGTGAATTGTGTAAAAAACAGGAGGAAAAATCTAAATACAAGAGATGATAAATTTATGGACATTTCAGTCAAGTGTTCATTGTTTACTTTAACTCCAATTCCATTAAATGTAATGTTTAAAAAAAATTTCACTGCATAAATTCATACATTCCAAAATAAATATTATTTCCAATTATAATGTTTTTAAAAACGATAAAGTTATATGTGCATATTTATAACGGGAATTTGGGTCCAATAAGTTGCAATTTATACCTCAAATATTTAATCGCACGAATCAAATGGTTAAGTGTTATGCAAAATTTCTACCAAAAGTTTTTTTTCAAAAGCGTCTCTTAAAAGAGGGATAGAAAAAAATATTTAGAAAAAAAACGGAGAGATAATAGGAATAGTTGCATACATGGCGAACAAGCTATGATTATTTATGTATTTATTTTATACATACTGTAATTTTTATTTATTTATAGCACAGTTTAAAGTATTTGTGCAAAGAAAATACGTTTTTCATGTGAGCTGAATTATTGATAAAGTTTTTGTTAAAACAAAATTGATAAATTTATAAATTATACGTTCTAATTTGTGTAGTCTTTATTCAGGCATTAAAGCAATATTTATTATTACCGATTGTTTATTTTTGAACCACGGCATAAATAACATTTCTCAACAGCTGTATTTAATTAATTAGTTAAGCGTAATTTTTACGCTAGACCTCATACAGGACCTCATTTTAGTATTTACGTAATGAATAAATAAATGTATTCACTTGTTCTGTGTATGTTAGAGTCACGGGTTTATATACATACATATGCAGGGTGTCCTTTTCAGATGACTCAGCTGAATTTCTCTTGAACCGATGACCGTTAAAAAAAATTTTTTTCCTTGTTTTGGAGGAAAATTATACTGGGTACCTCAGGCCCAGTTCAACTTGAAAATTTCAAATACGTCCCTATATATCCTGAAACATTATTTTAAAGGATTTTTTACGCGGAAAACAATGGTGCAATCGGTTTTTCAATTGGTTAAAAAATGACAAAGTTATGGCAAAAAGCTGTAAAAAAAATCAGTCATTTGATTTGCGATTTATTAATCACATTGCATGTTCGTGCCTTCCGTAAAGATGCAAATATTTCCCCTTTTTACCACTCTTCAGAAGAACAGAGTCAGGAGATGGATCGACCAGCATTTTTTATCCTTTTCCGCAGTTCTTCAACTGAGGCTGCTGGGTTATGATTGGGGTAGACACTGTTGTCTTTTTTAAATGACCGCAGAGAAAATAGTCAAGTGGAGTTAAATGGGGTGACCGATGAGTCCAACAGATCGGGCCATGAGGTCATATCCACCTATCCCGGAAGTGACAATTCAAGTAACAGGTGAATTGTGTGTGGGGTATCCATCAAGCTGGAGATTTATTCTTTGTCGTTGTTACAGAGGATCATCATCTAATAGTGTTGGTAAAACCTCCCTCAAAAAATTAAGGAACTGAGCACAGTTTAAACTGTTAGGGGTATGCACGATCTTTGTGTTAACCCGGTTAACTCTGTTAGGTCGTGTTAGATCGAGAAAAATGATGACGTAGACTTGTAAGAATCGGCTAGTTATCATTGCTCGATCTAACGGGGTCGAAGATGTAGTCACATTGCTAACAGTTACAGAGTTAACATCTAACAAATAGCGTGAATACCCCTACTTTCTTAGAAATAAGGCCCAATTAATTTATTTCCGAAAAGTCCACACCAAATGTTGATACTGTGAACCACCTGATGCTGGCAATAGTACAAAACTCTCGGATTTTCTTCTGCCCGTGTTCGAAAATTCCAACAGTTTAGTATGCCATTAGAGGATGGATGGATCAGTTCGTAGGATGAATGGAAGAACGTTTTCTTCAGCATCCCAAATCGACTTTTGGGCAAGGAACGTTAGACGCCTGTCAGAATCAGAGTCCCGAAGTCCCTGGACAAGATGATGGCGACAGAGCTTAAAATTGTAAGTCCGGAGTCTAGTCTCTAATTTTATTGTTTGAAAACCTAAAATCCTTCCAACATTTCGGAGCGAGGAATTCGGATTTTCGCGAACATACAGTAAAATATTCAGCCCCTCGTCGAAATTTCCCTGCCGGTTTCTTTTTTACTATAACATTGTCATTTTTTGACCAAATTAAAATCCGATTGTGGACCATCGTTTTCAGCATAAAAAACCTTTAAAATGGTGTGTCCGGATAGGGTCGTATTTGAAATGTTGAATTAAACTGGGCTTGAAGCACCCTGTATGATTTTTCATAGCAGGGAATTGCTTTACTTTTTTAGATAATACAATTATTATAGTTTATATATACTCAAAACATTTCATTTGGAAAGATTGGCTCTCATATATAAGAGTCGGCAAATATATAAAAATATTTCGTCGTCCAAATACAGAAATATGTTTTCAGCAGGGTAAAGCGAAGTAAAAGTGAGC